TTATGGACATGCAAGCAAGCAAGAAGGGGGCGGCGTTGACTTAAGAGACTAGGCAATAAGGAACTAGGATATGCTAAAAAAAAATCTGAAAACTAAAAAAAAAATACCTCGCTGGAATTGTTTTTATTCCCGACCGATCGCAACCCTTTCAACGGGAGCCAGTCACATCCAGGTGGAATTTTCCTTTTCCTTTTTCGTCCGCATGCTAGCAGCTTTCATAATCGTGTTTCTATCCTCTTCTTGCCCCACCTCAGTGAAGATGGGTCGCGTCCTCCCGCTCTCTTTCTTCCCCATCCGAAATGCTTTCACGATCAGTATTCTTAGACACACAAAACGATATCGCTCACGTAAGGTTCGAGAACCAGGCGACGTCGTTGAAGGCGAAGAAGATTTCACTCGTGGTCGCCAACGTACAATCTAATGTGATGTTTTCGCCTTGTCCGTCGTGGGAGCAGGTGCAGGGGGAATTGTCCTCCGGATCGGGGCGTGGGAACTGCCCCGACGTCCGTGGAGCGAGGGAGAGAAGGAGAGAGAAAAGGGCGAGAACGATCCGTTTCTCCGTGGCCGAACACATGGAGGTAGAGACGGGGCGAGGCTGGATCCGAAAGACGGAATCGTCGAATACAGACGCCTCTTTTATATTCGGGGCTTTCCCGGATGAGAAAATGTGCAACTGACGCAGTTCACAGCATGACGCTGTGCAAAATCCGTTTTTAACGTGGCGAATCTCCCCGTAACAACCCAGACAGTTTTTTCTGCTGTTCCGAAGTTTATCAGCGATTGGGAGGAGCCGCGGATTTTCTCAGGAAATCGGGCCACCCTCACGATGAGTCGAATGGAAAAACAAGTCAAAATGCTTTTTGCGTTCATTCTTCCCACCCGAATGAAAGCCCTTTGATGCAATCCTTCGGGAGAAGGAAAGGTCAAACTAAGGGTACACCGAATGAAACGTCGAACGAAACAGTTCCCCCAAAATGTTCGATATTGACTATTTAAAAACATTTATGCCTTTTTAGCCCGGTTTTTTGGGTTGTTTTGGGTTTTTGGGTTGGGGACTGGGTGCCCGTGAAGCAACATTTTTTATCAACATTGCAGCAACATAAATCCAGAAACATTTCTGCAACGTATTTGTAAGGAATAAGAAATGATTTGCAACGTAAATGCGGTGTTCCTTCCTTCGCGCAACATTTGTGAAACATTGACGTTTTGGGCATTTACACATAGATGCATCATCGTTCATCAACATTTCCTAATCGTTGTTGGAACATCTTGTGTTACTTGGGTATTCGGCATTCCTAAGTTGCAACATTGCGTTTAAAGCCATTTTTCGCCACTAAATTGAATCTTAGTGGCCAAGACGACAAAGAAAGGAAACCAGTGCTACTGGACTCACGCAGATCAAGGTCGATCAGATTCGGCAGGAACCAACCCCCTTCAACAGCGGACACTCGATTATCCGCCAGTGCGAGATCCTCGAGCACGTGACTCCGCAGCGCCGGCAGCGCCGCCAGGGAGCCACCGGAAACGTCGAGACTCGTCAGCACCGCCATCTTCAGCAGGACCTCCCATGGGAAGTCCTCGAGGCCGCTGCGCCCGCGAGCCTCTCCCTCGACCGCATCAACACGGACAGATGAATCGCGGTCAGGCTCTGGGCGTCGTCCATGTTGATGTACTTGATGGAGACGTCACCGAAGATGCCATCCGAGAGTTCCGTTATCCCTTCGTTCCTCCAAATGTGAAGTTTCCTTGTAGGAGGAGGGAGAATAACAGGATCATGTATTCATTTTGACCGTTCCACGCTTTCCGTGTTATGCAGCGAGAGAACGAGCACTGTGGGCAGCATTACACCCAAGCAGCATGACTATATTTATACCAGAGAGAGTTTGTCCTTCGTGCGGACAAACCCATATTTCATCGCTTGGATGGGAGGATTACATATATTTCTCGAAGAAAATCACAGACTATGACCTGACAGGTCCTGACTGATTTGAAATGGAACTACCCCATCATAAAATTGAGGGAAGTTGTTTGCCATTTTAAATCAGATTTTTGCTAACTGTTACGAAGGCTCATTTCAATGTGCGGTAGGTGTCTGCGTAATTTGCCAGCGACGACCCCATGCCCTCTCAAGGAAAATGTTAATCCTATTCTATTCTGCACTATTCACCTTCTCCCCTTGCCGAAGCTTATTTTCCCTTAACCCAAAGGGTTAAGTCAGTTAACTATGGGTCGGAGGTGACTGTGCGACCCCACTTTGCACTTCCCTAGGGACCCCCTACAACAATTACTTTTCAGATTTCGAATCCCAGACGATCGATTTTTCCTCCCCTACTACCTTAAATTCACACCTGCCTCGTTCAGTCGCTGGTCGTCTGGAGCTACTTCAATCTCAAAGTTCCACCCTTGCTGATGGATGAAGCGGTACCTGTGAACTCGGATGATGAACTCAGCCGTCTCTCTGTGGCTTGGACTCGGCCGGTTCGCACGAGGGAATGGATCGAAGGCCTCGTCCTCGGGTGACCTTCCTCAAGGACACGCAAGGACGACTGGAACGAGACGCTCGTTCGTTACGACCTCTGAATTGCGAAAAATGTGACCCCCCGGGGAATGCACAACAGACATACATTTTGAAATTAAATAAAAATGGATGTGTGCATTGGGACGATGGAGAATAATAAAAAAAAAGGTTTCCCTCTGGATTTGCTCGGACTGAATTCATTCGGTGATACCTTAAGTTTCTGTATCAATTTCCGGTATAAATATGTACGCCTTGAAAGCATCGCCCAGTAGTCTAATTTCACCACGTTATCATCTATAGGAGGCTTAGGGAGAACTCGATAAACTTTCGTTTGATTTCACCCTTCTCTATCAAGCGAAATCTCTATAAGATTCCGTCGGTTTGATTTGTGGTCTGAACTGTTCCCAGCAAACCGGGGATGGACTAGAATGATCATACTTCGCCGTAGACCATCAGACAGAACGTTCGCTCGAACAAAATCACACAGAAACGCTTAAATCATATGAAAATCGTGCATATGAAAACGGAGAGCAAAGGTAATTTAATTTCCACAGTTTTCTTAGAATGGAAAAAATTTTCCCCATTTTTCATGCCTGTTTTCGTCATTCTGAGCATCAGAGTCCCAAGTTCGAGTGTGCAGTGTGGCAAGCGGGTACCGATCAACCTATGATGCTGCTAACGACACCTAGTGGTGGAAGGAGATACTCACAGCAAACAGTGCAATTTTTGATTTGCTGAGAAGCCAAAAAAATTGACAAATCAAAAAGTACGTGGGAAACCGTACTTTTCTAAAAAGGTCAATATCCAAAACCACTCGGAACATCCTCGACGAGCCCTTGCCCGATCGAATGATATACATGCTTAAATTTCAAATATTTCATTCACAACATAGTGAACAACAATATTTCTTAATACGATTGCACCAAATACTTACGTTTCTATCATCCGGTCTCGAAGAGGCTCAAAACAAGATTAACCGACGGAAACCCATTAAGCCGACAGATGAAGGATCGCCACGACTATGTTGGACCAAACTCGGCCAAATTGGGGGAAGATGCAGCCTACAGCCCTAGAAGAAGACATCGAGGATCTTCCACAGCTTGTTTGAACTTTCTGAGAAAGGTCACCGCCTCTCTCCCGTCGATCAGCGGATGATCGTAGGTCAATGCGACGTACATCATCGGTCGGATCACCACCTGCGACAGAGAAGAGATGCATATTTTATCGACCTACTTTTCGTTCGTTGCACTTGAATTCCACCAAACTTAGGTAACAAGATTTTTGGGGCACTGAGGGATTTCGTTATAAAATCATAAAGGTGGAGCATGTAAAGCACCATTCCTTTTGAGATCTATCAATGATGAAGCATCCACCAACAAAAAAAAGAAATTCAAGACACACTAGTGGCTGTAGCTGCAGCTGCTCCTGTTACTTACAACACTGCAATTAGTAATTTTTGTGGCCACTCACTCCTGTTTTAACCCTTGGGTCCAAACTACTACAGCCCTTGTTATTTCTTTCCACATTAAGGTCAAAGAATAAAGTTACCATAATGGTGAATATGGAATAGCTGGTCATTTGACTCCCTATCCTATTACATGTAATAGGATATTGTACATCGATCCTTCGATCCATCGATCGATCCTGACAAACAGGCACGAAAGAGGAGAAATTAGTTTGCAAAATTGCCACTGAAACTTGACTTCATTATGTGACATGCTAAGGTTCTATTCATACTACAGCTGTCAGGAGAATGGACAATTATTCTTTCTCAATGGTGAAATACACCAACTTAGATAATGTGATAAGTGACCATTCTCCACATGAAGAAAAAGGGTGCATGTATGATTCAACTCTTCATGAAGATTGTTTCTCTCTCCAACCCATCATTCTAGCATTCATACTAAGGAAAGAGTACGGAGACTCCAAGGATGCCACCATCATTTGAAGCATATTTTCATTCAATATTAAATTTGCTCAGGGTACCAATATATTTAGCCTTTAATATGCTCACTTGGTAGAATTCAAAAGAAAAGATATTTAATCACCCAAATATAATAATGAACTTGTCACCAAATATAGACTCCCACAGAAATATAGACTCTGTCATCAGATCACAATGAATCTTCACCAAATTAGTCAGGCATCACATTTTTATTTTGACTTCACCAAATATGATTGCACCATC